AACCTGACATCTATTTCCACGTCATAATTCATAAAAAATCGAAGTGGAAAATTTATTTTACGACGGTTGTGGGAAATGTTGTGACGTAGTAGGTGTCAATAACGTCGTCTATTATGATTGTAAAGACGTCGTATTTATATTTGTCATCTGTTTCCTTTTTAACGACGTTTTTTTTGTTGGAGTTGGTCGTCTATTCTCATCCTCGACTGTTTTTTATGTCTTTTTGCAGCACAAAGACGTCGGTTTTTATTTTTTGATGACGTTTTTTGTTTTAACAACGACGGTTATTCACCGTCGTGGTTTTGTTATGGAAAAGATGTCGGTGGATTCCACGACGATTTGAAAACAGAATACACGACGGTGAATACCCGTCGTGGTTTTCCTTTTTTGTAGTAGTGATTTCATATATGCAAAAGTTAGAAATTTTTCATATATGCCAAAGTCATCTACATGACTCAGAAATTAGAGGTTCAATTCACACACATTCTACCACTAATACATACAAATAAACATCCACAATTTTAAAATGAAAATAACCATGAATCATCTGGCTTTAATGCTAGCAATATGTTATACAATTTGTGGTGTTTCTAAAATGAAGCCAATCTTATCAATACATCATTTGTGGTGTTTCCAAAAAGACAGATGCATCAAATTTAGCTAGGCCATGTCCTCAAGCATTGCCACTAGGCAACTACTCAACAAACACTTTCTTAATATCATCATCCAAAGACATGAACATAGATATATTTTGTGGCTTCTCCAAAATGAGTTTTAGTGCTGCAATTTGATATAAAGGATAAAATCCCATTTTCTTGAGTTCTTTGGCAATATCAGATCGATCTTCATTACCTTTTATTATAGACTCAGTCACCATTTGCATCCTTTTCCCAGATGCTTCAAACAATTTCTCCAATACAGTGACAATCTTCGCTTCATCACTTGAGCTTGCAACTCTTTTCCTCTTATTTTGACTGTTCATGGATTGGCTTCTTTCTTTGTTTAAAGACATAGGAGATGCATCTTCCTGGACACAATTATCACTAGCATTAACTTCGTTATTGCTTTGCTCTTCTATCATGTCAGCGAGGACTTTAGCTCTTTGTCCGTTAGCACAATCCTTTCCAAAGATATTAGAAAGTCTATTAAACAAAGGAAATGGTTTGCTCCTCCATTCAGCTGCTTCCTTGTGGTGCTATGATAAAACAAGACACCACTTAGCTTATTTTCAATATGTTATAAAAAAAATAAAAATAAAAAGTAATAAAAGCAAGTTTAAAATCTACACTCATCAAACCCACTTGACATCTTCATTTAAGAAAAATAGCAAAAATAAGTATGTACCTGCACATAAGTCTCCCATGTATCATTACTGTCAACCTCAATACACTTTTTAATATACAAATTTATAAATAAACCCAATCCTAGACATGTATTTATAAAAAAATCCAAACACTATTTAAACATAGAAACACACCCAAAATCAACCCCAAAATCAACAATTGTATATTTTTTAGGTGTGTTTATAAATGGGTTTTGAGTGTGTGTAATGATGGGTTTTGGGTGTTGGGTTTTTTTTATAATTTCAGCCCCCAATTTGGGTGTTTTAGTGAAACTCCCTTTTTTATATCATTCTAAGCAAATCCATTTGTGTTTATCATGTCATAGACTATACTATATTGCTTTTTTTGCTTCTTCAATTTTGATTCAATATGAGGACATGCCTTTAGCCCCAAATTAGGACATTTAATATTCAAAGGCTTCTCTATTTGGACCATAATACCAGATTTGAAACTCCCAGTCTCACAACGTTGGCCTACAGCCACAAACTCATCTAACACGGTCAAAAATGCATCTTCCTCAAACTTGGACCATGACTGCCTAGTTCCTTTCTTTCCTTGTTCAGAGTTTTGATTGTTACCTTCACTTTCCATTCCTAAGAATAATCAGTACAAATAAAATAATACCACAATCAATAATTGGAATCTGCAAAGAAAGCATAACTTTGTTTCAAAGCACGACTCTTCTCTAGTACATCACATAACCTTAAAAACAAAAGGAAAAATAAAATCTGCAAACAAATTGATAAATTGACTACAATACCATAATTAATACATTGTTAAGGATGAATTATCATGCCTCAAATACAAATTACTATCACATAAAAAATTAGACACCCTTAGAACTCAAACATAACCATATCACCTTCTATCACATTTTTCGTCTCTTCAATCTCATTTATTTCATGCTCTAGTGGATTTCTAGACATCCCCCTCCTAATGAGATTATGTAAAAGACAACAAGCCGTAATTATTTGTCTATATTGGATAAAATGATGGACTCCTTAATATACCTCACCTAGCATTTAGCAACCCAAAACAATGTTCTATTACGTTTCTTGTTTTAGCATGCTTCATATTAAGATATTATTGATGATTTACAAGTGTATTTCCTTCTCTCCATTCTGATAGATGATACCTTGTTCCTCTATATGGTATAAGAAATCCCTCACCATTTGTATACTCACCATCTACAAGGTAATAATAACCAAATAAAAAATCAATTCCTATGATTATGTGGTTATTATATAAACTTACAATTATTTATAAAGTGAACTAACTAATGGCCTTACCGGTAGGAACTCTTAATCCATTAGGCCTAGTTATGGCATCTCAAAGGACCCTAGAGTTGGATGCGGTCCCTCCCAACCTGGCAACACAAATATAAATTGCATGCCACGTGAGCAAACGGCCAACACATTTGTTGCAATTTCTCCCTTTCTAGTCTGATATCTCGATTTTTTGGTTTTAGCTACTCACACTTTAATGTATGTTCCATCTAGTGCTCCCAAGAAATTCTATAAATAAAGAAAAAAAATTGTAAACTTTCATTAAGTTTATATGTTGCACAGATCATAGGAGAGAAAGCCAAAGCATAATAAACATACCTTAAACCATTTCCATCTATGATTTCTGCAGTTATCACCTATAGGTTCCGGTACTCTCAATAGGCTACCTTGTAATTTTAAAATGCCTTGTAACACGGAACTGAAGTACCTACTAATAGTCTCTCCTAATTGAATAAATCTATTTATAATAGTACGATTCTTAACATGATGAGCAACCACATGCAAGAACATACATACAGTCATCAAACCATCATTCTTTAACCTTCCATCCGTGCAAAGCAAATCGCATAATAAACCAAATGTCTTTAAATCCATTCTTAGTTCACTCACACATTCTCTGTCATTGCCTAATATACTGTTCAAATAACGTAATCGATTCTCATGTCTAACAAACGAACGGTTATTGAGGGAACGTCTTTCTAAAAGTCTTCGATTTCTTCTCATATTTTTTAGCATCATAAGCACAAGAATTGTGCAAGCACACATGGTCTCTAAATGCCACATCTCCAATAATAATATCAACAACATTTGTCTTTGATCCTTATCTATTAATCAAAAAAGAAAAGAATTATTGCACTTAATCAATCCTCTGGCTACTGAAAGTGAAATAACACCAAATTGAAAACAAACAGTTTCATATGAAAATAGAAACAGAACAATTAATGCAAAGCCATAATTAATACCATGTGCAAAGTATGGAAAATTCACCCCAAATGGACCAAAAATTATCAACCAATGTGTGCTTAATACCACATCGCACCCTCCCAAAGTGTGCCTATACATAAATATGATATATATAGACTTTCATCATATTCTTCACCTTCAAATTATTGGAGCTCTTTTTTCAAATCCCTCATTCTCTCATCAAGTTCTGAAATCACCCAGATTAAAAGGAACATGAACTCTTTACTTTTGAGTGAAATAAAAATCGTGCAACAAAACATCTCTCATAATATATTCAATGCAAACACCATTAGGTATGGTATATATGGGAGTAAAGCCAAGCATGATTGGCAAGAAAAAGAAACATAAGAAAAATATTCATAATAATGTTACTCAAAACAATAAATGATAAATGCCTTATTACTTATGAGAAATATGAAAACGAATTAGACATTCACAAATAATATAAAGAAAAAAACTTCAGGTTGTAAGTGAACTAAATAAGTTCCAACTATCTCTCAATAAATAAATTAATGAAGAAATACAGTTACAGTCCAAAGAAGCGATCTTCTAGAAAAATGGGGCTACCTTCGTAAAGAGCAAGCTTTACTTTCCTTCCTTTCCAATGTTTGAAAGCCAAAAGCTCATAAAGTTATCTATTTTTTAGCTCCTTGTGGTGAGGAGGTCTCTCGCAAGGAGAGAAGGGTTTTGCTTAGGGTTTGCAAAGCCGGGCTGTGGCGGCTGCCCTATGCAATCTTAGGGTTTTCGTTGCTTGGGAGTAACGTTAGTAATCATTAGGCATCAGGATAATAGGGTTGGGGCTGCTTTGGACTGGCGTCTACAGCACGTTTCTGCGAGGCTTGGTTGCGAGTGTTGTCCACCTAGGGTTGGAAGAGACGTAATAGCAGTGTAAGCCACATACTGTGGGCAGGAAGGAAACCACATCCTAGCCAGGGATCTAGAGGTACCGATAACTACGAAGTGGGGTTATGGAGGAACTGGAAAACAGGTTTGGTGCGAACCTACAACTTTCGGACAAGGAGCTACAAGGCGTGGCGATCGGCGAAGATGAGATTGCTACGGTGATGCGGGGCTCTTGTTTTACCCTTGTCGCACGCGTTCTCACGGCCAGAGCTGTACACCAGGATAGCTTTGTGGAGGCTTTCAAGAGGCTGTGGAAAGGCACCGATGAGGTTTCAATCAGGGAGATTGATGATAGCTGGTTCTTGGTTCGCTTCACCAACCAACGTGACATGCATAGGGTCTTGGACATGGAACCGTGGACTTTCAAAGAATCACTCGTCCTTCTGGCTGAGGTGCGGACCAGCCTCGACGCCAGATCTGTTAACCTTACGTTGGGCACCTTTTGGGTGCAACTCCATGGATTACTATCACTGACCATGACAGCTGCGGTTGCTCGGAAAATTGGGTCTTTGATCGAGCGAGTTATCGAAGTTGAGCAGACGGGGGATGAAGACTGCATTGGGCATTTTCTAAGGGTACGTATACGCATCGATGTGTTGCAAGCTCTTATGCGTGGAGCCTTTGTGGATTTTCCTAAGGAAGGGTCGAGGTGGATTGATTTCCGATATGAGTTCATACCTGAGTACTGTTTGCTATGTGGTTGCTTAGGTCATCCAAGTCGAGTATGTGCAGAACTTGCGGAAACTACCGAGCACTCTGACAGGCAGAGAGAGGAAAGAAAATTGGCTTTTAGGGGATTAGAAGCTGAGATAGACTTAAAGGGGAGGAAACTGAAGTCGATGGAGAGGCGATCCCAAAGGAGTAATATGAATAGTCAACTTATGAGAAAAGGCAGTGATAGCGTACGGTGACACAGAGAGCACAATTATGGTGATAGGGACAGCGCTTCACGGCAGTCCACTAGCAATAGATCTTCTAATACACTTTGGAGGAGACCTCAGGGAGCTGATTTGGACGACACAACCTCTTCTCCATGCAAATCTGCTACGGCAAGTAACAGCCTAGCAAAGCGTATTAGACGGCAACATGAAGAAGAACAAAGGCGGCGGGATCTTATGGAGCAGGCATAGGAAGCTGGAATGATAGGCCCAGGGGTGTGGGCCTAAGTGGGGGTAGAGAAGAGGCAATAACCCCATATGGCTCTGTGGAAGGGGTGGGAGTGAAGCAAGTGATCCAAGAAGTTCGAGGGTCCCCTACCTCGTTGGCTGAAGGAGGGGGGAGACCTTTTGACCTCAACATCACAACGGAAATAATGGAGACAGTAGAGGAACAGTCAGAACGAGTCATGAAGAGGGTGAAGTAAGATATCCATCGTACCAACTTTGATCCCTTTGAGCTGGGCCCTTTAATACATAGGATACAAGTACAGGAAGGACAACACGGTAAAAAGAGGCAGAGGAATACGGTGGGGAGGAAACTGACGGACGGAGAGATAAACGACTGAGAAAGCCCTCTCCTAAACAAAGCTCGGGAACTTACGTGGAACTTGTCGGGGCTAGACGACCCCTTTCTTTTGGATACTCTGCTAAAGAGGCATTGGAGACTGGCCATAACGGGTCTCCACGGTCGTCATGAGGACAATAGTATGGAACTGTCAAGGTATTGGGGGTAACCTGACAATTTCTAGTTTGAAGGAGCAAGTACGGCTCCACACCCCTGACATAGTGGTGCTTCTGGAAACAAAGACCCGGAGTCATCGCTATGAACATCTTAAGCGGCAACTCAATATGGATTTTTTACATGCAGTAGAGCCACGAGGGCTCAGTGGAGGTCTAGCATGTTTTTGGAAGGATGCGAATCAAGTTGTTTTTGTCATTGAAGTATTGGTTACAGATTCAGAAACAGGCAGGGCATGGCGTTTTAATGTTATCTATGCAAGTACAGATGATCGCGTCCGACGAGGTCAATGGAATATCCTAAAGGACCGAATACATGGAGGGGTTGAACCGTGTTTAGTAATGGGTGACTTTAATGATATTTTAGATAGCTCTGAAAATGAGGGAAGGAACTATCGTACACTTAATAGTATGTATGATTTTCGTAGTTTTGTGGCTGATAGTCATTTGCTAGATTTGGGATATATTGGCCATCCTTTTACTTGGAGGAACAGACGGGAAGGTGGTTTTATTCAAGAACGACTCGATCGAGGCCTTGCTACGGAATCATGGATTAATTTATATCCCAATGCCCAAGTTTTACACCAGTTATTACCAGGTTCCGATCTTTCTATGCTAATTTTGGATACGACTCCCATGGTAAGGAAATGGAGGAAACGATTTATTTTTGACCCTCGATGGGGAAAAGAGGAGAGGTGTAAGGAAGTAGTTCATGGTTGTTGGCAAAAGCAATTTCAAGGTTCCAAGGGCTGCCAAGTATTTGAAAAATTGAAATATGTGCGGATGGGGATTTTGAGATAGCGCAAGCGGGAAGGTTGTAATAACATGCAGCGGGTACAACTACTAAAACGAGAATTATCCCAAGACTATCAGGCCAATTGTTTTAATGGGGAACAAGTGAGATGGAAGGAGCAGGAACTTAAGAAAGCCTTGAGAGAGGAAGAAGGGTACAGGAAACTTAAGTCCAGAATACAATGGTTAAATGAAGGGGACAAAAACACTAAGTTTTTTCATTCCAAGGTCACTACTCGGCGAAGATGAAATCGAATTATGGGCTTAGCGGATGCTGCTGGTCAGTGGCATACAGATGAGGCCTCTATTAACGATATTGCAGGTCCTATTTCACGGATATTTTTGCGACGACCCACCCTCCACGAAGCCACGAAATTTTTGCATGCATTGAGCAACGGGTTATAGACCAAGATAAAAGAGAGCTCTTGAAGGCAGTGGAGACGGAGGAAATTTATTCTGCGATAAAGGACATACACCCATTGAAATCACCAGGGCCTGATGGATTTACAGGAAGCTTTTATCATCAATTTTGGGGTACGGTTGGGACTAATGTTATAGGAGCTGTTCAAAGTTTTTTTCACTATGGGAAGATGACTAAGAAGTGGAATCATACACACCTAGTTCTTATTCCAAAGGTGCCTAGCCCTAGAACTATGATGCAGCTCCGACCGATTTCTCTGTGTAATGTGATATACAAAATCATCTCCAAGGTGATCACAAATCGTCTCAAAAAGGTCTTACCAAAGATTATAAGCCAACACCAATCAGACTTTGTGGCAGAGAGACAGATCACAGATAATATTTTGGTAGTACATGAGATTTTACACTCTTTGAAACAGAAAAAAGGGGTGAGCCCTGCTAGATGGCGATCAAGCTTGACATGGCAAAAGCCTATGATAGGGTGGAGTGGTGTTTTGTAGGTGACATGCTACGTACCCTGAGTTTTGGAGAGACTCTTTGTCAATGGATAATGGAATGTATCTCCACAATCACGTATAGTGTAATGATCAATGGAGAGGCTACGGGTCACATTGTGCCGTCGAGAGGGCTTCGTCAAGGAGATCCTTTCCCCCATTTCCTTTTTCTTATTTGTGCAGAGGGTTGACAACTTTGCTTCGTAAATATGAGGAGGACATGTTCATTCATGGCTTTCAGCTTCGACCAGAAGGGGTGCAGATTTCTCATCTATTATTTGCTGATGATTCGGTTATTTTTTGTAGAGCTGAGGAACATGAGGTTTTAAATGTGCAGCGGGCGTTGAAGTGCTACGAGGAAGGGTCGGGACAATGCATTAATTATGAAAAAAGTTCTTTATTCTTTAGTAACAACTGTCCAATCCGACAGTGTCGAAAGTTAGAGGCACTTATTCGGATACGTCAGAAAGAGGAGTTTGGGAAATATCTGGGTATAATTGCTGACTTTGGGCAGTCAAAGAAGAAAGTTTTTGAGAACGTGCGGGTTAAGATTTCCTGACGATTGCAAGGGTGGGCAGAACAATTTTTATCTATAGCCGGGAAGGAAGTGCTTATTAAGGCTGTTGCAATGGCTATGCCTACATACAGTATGTCATGTTTCAAACTGCCCATTGGTCTATGCAAGGAGCTTGAGCGGGAGATCACACAATTTTGGTGGAAAGGACAAAAGGATACTAAAGGAATTCATTGGGTGGCATGGCAAAAAATGACGCAAAGGAAAACAAATGGAGGGTTGGGTTTTCGCGATATAATCTGTTTTAATCTAGCTATGTTAGCTAAGATTGGGTGGTGTTTGGTTCTTCACTCCGACTCACTTTTGGCACAGCTTATTCACGATAAGTATTACCCTGGAGGAAGCTTTCTTTCCGCTGGTTCAGTTCGCGGTTCCTCTTGGGGTTGGAAGGGTATTCTGCAAGGCCGACGTGTTCTAGTTGCGGGTTTACAATGGAGGGTGGGCACGGGTGACACCATTAGAGTGAAGGAGGACCCATGGTTACCAGTCCCATATACCTTCAAAGCTCTCTCTAATCATGTGAAGATGCCAATATATGTGCGGGACCTAATTGACTCGACTACTAAACAATGGAGAAGCGCGGAGGTGGACCGTTTCTTTGTGGAGCCGGAAGCCGAGCTGATTAAGGGACTGGCGATCAGCAGATGGGGTTGCCCAAACAAACTCATATGGCACTTCACGAAACATGGTGGTTTTACTGTTAAGTTGGCTTATGAGGTAGCCCAATTTTTACAAAGAAATGGGGAGTTGGGGAGACAAGGGCAGGGGGAACCCAGCGTTAGGAATAACCACCGACCGCTATGGACAAGTATTTGGAAGCTAGAGGTACAGCCAAAAATTCGGAGCTTCCTCTGGAGAGCTTGTTTGAACGCACTAGCGGTTCGCCAAAATCTTAAACAAAGGCATGTGGATTTGGAGGATGTTTGTGCACTCTGTGGATGTGAAAGGGAATCTCAGGTACATCTTTTTTTCCATTGTGAGTTTGCAAGAGCATTCTGGTTCACTTGCCCGTTGCAGTTCGACACGAGGCTGATCACAGAAGGAGATTTTCTATCATGCTGGCAGTTCCTTCTCAAGAAATATGAGAATGAGGGTAACCGCCAGGATATTCTGCAATGGTTGGCTATTGGGCTATGGCGGCTATGGAAGAACAGAAATGCTGCAATTTTCTGAGGGCATCATGCACACCCACAAGATGTTGCTCTCACTTGTCAAAGGCAAATAGTGGAATTTGTGGCAGCTGGTCCAGTAAGTATACCTCTTATTCATGACCAACCGAGACCTCAGGAGTGGGATCGTAGCGGCGTCCAGACTTGGTAGAAACCGGCTGACGGTTGGATGAAACTTAATTATGACGGTGCTTAGGAGCAAGCACCCATGAGAGGTGGAGCAGGATGAGTGGCTCGAGATAGTAATGGCTGGATGGAAATGGCAGGGGGTGTAGGGGGCTTCTCGTGTCAATCGGCTTTGGCTGCTGAAGCGGAAGCTGTGCAAGAGGCGGTGGCAACAGGTCTGGGGGCGAGGTTTACCAAGATAGTGGTGGAGACAGACTCGAAACAACTTGTTGCAATGTTACATGGGGACATGAAGACGGATACTACTATTGATGGTATTATTCATGATATTAAGTTAATGGTCTCTCAGGTGGGTCAGATATCTTTTAATTTTGTGAACCGTAGATGCAATGCAGCTGCTCATTTAGTAGCAGTGCATGTATCTCGTTTGGGTGGGGAATTCAAATGGGATCAACTTTGGCCTGAGTGGTTGTTTGACACTCTTACTGCTGATGTACACATTCCAATTCGACTTTAATAAATCCTTTCCATCGTTTGGCCAAAAAAACAAAAGCCAAAAGCTCATATATATCAATCTCTTCAAGAAGAATATCAATTGCC